CGCATCCCAAAAAACGGAGGCCATAACCTTCCCGGCCGAGCGTTAGTCTTTTGGTAGTCGCTTTGGTCGGCTTTCGTGGCTTTTCAGCCACTCTGCAGACTGCCTATTGGACTCAGGCGTATGGTAATGGATCCACGTTTCATTCATCGTCACAAAACGTCGAAAAAAGTCCGCTCGATTACGCTGCAACAACGCCAAACCGGCCGTTGAATCATCAACGCGCTGCTGTTTTTGGTCGATGGTCAGCAAACGCGGCACCCATCGTGCCAATAGCTTTTTCATCTCCAAAACATCGTGCAAAATGTATCCCGCCTGTTCTTTTGAGATGCCCACGGCCTCAGTTAACTCGCACAATTTCACTTTACGATCACTCAAAACGATTCGATGCACTTGCTTTACGATTTCCGCATTCGTAGCCTCTTTTGGCCTTCCAGAGCGAGGTGCGTCTTCGGTGCTTGTACGACCCATTTTAAATTCACTAAACCACCGATAAACTGTTGTTCTCGAAGGGGCAGATGTGGGAACATTTCTGCAACCATTTCAATGATTGTTCAGAAGTTTTTTCCATCAAAAAACAATGTTTGATCAAGATGCGATATTCCTGTTTTTCCATTTTTTTTACGAAGGCGAAAGTAACGCCACTTAAACGACTGTAGCTTGTAAACGAATGAACGAAATGTCATGAAACTTCATACATAAATTAGTGACAGATGAACCTCTCGAAATGAATCATGTTCATTTTCTAGTGGCGCCACCTATTGAAAAATCCCGGGACTTTTCAGCCCATGTAGTAGTGGGCGAAAAAGCGTTCCAATTATTTCCGTGTTGTTTACTCTTTTACTTTAGATATGCTTTAAATATTGGGAGTACAAATTAGTCCGGTCCGTTTTTTCCAAAAGATGGCTCCGGCTGTTGTGAATGGTTCATAGTGACAGCTGATTTTGACGTTTTCAGATAGGTTAGACATCTGTTAATAATATTCAGTTTATATCGCTTTGAGTTTCAAACAAAAACCTTGATTTTTACTGTTTGAAATGTCGAACTTTGTGTTAACCAAACAGCATTTTTTGCGGGAGGGGATTTATAATTTTCTGCTTGGAAAAGTGCAGCTGAAGCCCATCGAATGCTTATCAAAGTTTATGGTGACACTACTCCAACTGATAAATCATGTAGGGCATGGTTTTGACGTTTCCAGGATGGGATGGAGATTTCAGAAGACAAGCCTCGCTCTGGACAGCCAAAAAAATTCGAAGACAAAGAATTAGAGGCATTATTCGAAGAAGATCAGAGTCAAACGCAAGAGGAGCTTGCAGAATCATTGGGAGTAGCTCAACAAGCTGTTTCACGATTGAGAACCATGGGAATAATTCACAAGGAAATTGGGTGCCTTATGAATTGAAACCGAGAGACGTTGAAAGGCGATTTTTCATTTGCGAATAGCTGATTCAAAGACAACAAAGAAAAAGTTTTTTTGCATCGGATTGTAACTGGAGATGAAAAGTGGATATTCTACGATAATTCCAAGAAGAAAAAATACTACGCTAAGCCCAGTCAATCGTTGCCATCGATCTCAACATCAACACCAAAGCCGAACATTCATGGTTCGAAGATCATGCTCTGTATCTGGTGCGACCAAAAGGGTGTTGTTTATTATGAGCTGCTGAAACCTGGCGATTCCATTATGGGCGATCGGTATCGGCTACAATTGATTCGTTTGAGCCGTGCGTTGCGAGAAAAACGGCCGGAATACGAGCAAAGACATGATAAAGTTATTTTTCTTCATGACAACGCTCGGCCTCATATCGCAAAAGTCGTAAAAAAATATTTAGAAACGCTCAAATGGAATGTTTTACCACACCCGCCGTATTCTCCGGACATTGCTCCTTCTGATTACTGATTGTTCCGAAGGATTTGGCAAGTCACCGATTCACTTCTTTCGCAGAAATCGAAAATTGGCTCCAAAATTGGATCGTCTACAAAGACGAGTCATTTGTTCGAGATGGAATTCGAAAATTGCCTGAAAGATGGGAAAAAGTAATAGCCAGCGATGGACAATACTTTAATTAATCTGTTCATTCGTTTGTGTTGAAATTTTGAACACAAAAAAACGGACCGAACTAATTTGTACTCCCAATACTTTATTTTACTTTAGATAGACGATATATTATTCGCTGCTCCTCCAGACAGTTTAAATAGAATATTAGAAGTTTTTAATTTTCCAACGCCTTCAATTCACGCTTGAAATCGGCAATGACAATAACCTGAATTTTTTAGAAGCCTTTTGTAAGCCTTATTGTTGACGAGCATAGAATTATATTTGATATCTATAAAAAAACCTACATTTATATGAAAGATGTCTTAATTTCCATTCACAACATCCTGTTTGTCATAAAAGAGGTATAATTTTTAGTTTATTTGACAAAATTTTCTTTTTATTCCACCCGAAATTCTATTTTAAGAATATTATTGATATGATACAAGTTTTGTTAAGAAACGGATATCCTCTCCCTTTTATATTCTCTTCAATTCAAATACGAATTAAGTTCTATTCTAACAATAGGAACACCACTAAAAATTAAGTGAGAGATTATAATAAGCCCTTAACTGTACTTTTTGTTAAGATCATCTCGGAATCTTTTTCCACCATAGCCAGAAGTTAATTTAAAGTTTGCACAATTCCGAACACTCTGAAAAAAATACAAAAGGATACTCTTGAAACAGCAGCACATCATGATGTTGTCTATAGGATCTCATGTCATGATTATGATGCATCATACATGGCCAGACAAAAAGGCAATTAAAAACAAGAATCGCTGAGCATTCGTCGGATATTAATAAAAAATCAGGCTCATTAAGTGTCATATCTAATCACCGAACTTCACTTAATCATAATTTTGATTAGAACAAGAATTTTAGATAGGAAACCATTTTATAACAAAAAATTGACTTCCGAGATGATTTTTATAAAAAGACAAAAGAATGGACTTAATTTACAAAGTGACACAGAATCTTTACCAGAAATATACTCTCTCGTTATACAAGCACTTTCGCCTTCCTGAATGTTTCCTGTCATCTTTTCCCTCTCCTTTGAATTTCCTCACCATTCACAATTGTCGATTTTTTCGTTACTTGTATCAGTTTCAAATAAGTCGTCAAGAAACACGGAAGAACATGACACAATTTATATCTTTTGAGTTTTGATCTTAATACTGCTTGTTGTACTTATGCGCTGTAATTATTATCATCTTTGTTGGTAGTAATAACTTTGTTGGTAGATATTAATCGAAATCTTGCAACATTTTAATTTGTTTAAATTCTCACTAATTTAAATTATTACTTTATATAGCAATACATCATCACGTTATCATGAACAATTTATATATGTAAGCTTTTGAGAAGAAACCCAATAATCTTTTATGGCAAATTATAATTGTTAACTGATACGTTGAAATAAGATGGGATTCAGTCTTGAACGCTATGGATAGGTTTAAGAATCAAAATCCTATAACTTCTTACGCTCATATCAAGGTTTTCGGATTACACACAAGCCAATGATTTTATAATGAATAAATTAAAGAAGAATAACACTAGAGGTAAATATAAATAGAATGAAAGTTAAATTCGTTTAAAAATAAATAGTAATGTTTAAAAATAAATAAAAATGAATAAGCTTAAAAGTAGGATTTTAGAAGTATTACCTTTTTAAGAGTATATTTAATTTTTTATTGGGTATATTTTTTATTATACGATATACAATTTGTCAATTTACATCCAAAACATTATCAGTGACAATAGAATTGCATAATAATACAAAATAATAAATCAATACATCCTATATACACCTTTCTGTGTATTCTGAAGTACGAGTCCACGAAACAGTTGGAATAGCATTTTTTTCAGAATACCCTTGCCGTTTCTAATTTTCGATTCAGTCCACATTTCTGCATTAAAATATATCTAGAATAATATAAATATGTATCGTTTAATAATTTATTTACATTAGAAAAATCACAAAAGCAAGTTCTTACTAACCTCACATAACACTGAAGTATTAGACAGAGTTCAGTCTTGTCATCCTGTGTTTTCAGCCTAAATTTTTCGTTTTTTTGTCTCGAAAAAAATGACATATCTTCAAACTCTTTTTCCTAGAGTTTGTGCAATAATCTGCTAGGCATTGTAGCTCTAAAGGATAGAAATTGACAAATATCAAGCATCAATTTTGATCACGTAACCTATTTTGACGCTGAAAATAAGCATCGAGCATCAGCATGAAAAGGCATCTTAAAATCAAATTAACAAACAAAAGGTTAAGTTATAATGACTATACAAGCAATTCACGTTCTTATTTTATTAAAAGAATATATAATTCCATTACAATCCATTTGTCACCGAACTCTCCTTCTCTTAAATGACTCCAAATAAAATGATCAACAAACGAACAACTCATCTCTGACCCACAGAAAACTCATTCGAGACAGAGTAAATAGCTATGTAAATGATGCATTGTACGAGGATCGTTCGATAAGTCTGGTAAATCTTTATAAAATAATCCATTTGATGATGTGACACATGTGAAAATTATCACTCTTTAAATCCTTTCAAATGTCAACTAGAATTGATGCATTATTCACGTTCTGTAGTCATTTAAAGCAAGTGGAAAATTTTGCAGTTGTGTACAAAAATAAAAAAAAATGAATTCTATTCAAAATTATAGAATTGGGCTTGGAATTGATTCTTCATCCACTTTATTCCTTATCCATTTAATTCTGCATGGAATTCGTTTCCTTTTTTATTTTTATACGCGACAACTGCTTAATTTCTCGCTTGCTTTAAACAATTACTAAACGTGAACAATGCATCAATTCTGATTGAAATTTGACCTGGAAGAGTTTAAAGAATGATACTTTCCAGATGTCATGTTAAAAAGATTTTTACTCATAAAGATTTATCAGACTTATCGAATGATTCGTGTACACTGAGGGTACACAGGGGAACTTCTGGTTTTGCTTCAATTTGACGGATCAATCACGATCGTTACCCTGTTGGCCATATTATTCGAGGGGATAATCACTAGCTGAAATATTTTTTCACCAATTACATGATTTCATTTGATTTATATAATTTCATCTGATTACAAATGATTTCATTTGATTACAACTGATTTCATATGATTACACATTTCCCGTGATATTGGGTCATCTAAAAAGTATCCGCGGTTTTTATCACTAGATGGTGTTGATGGTCCACACCATCTAGTGACAAAAAACTGCGGATACTTTTTAGATGACCCAATATACAATATCATTTAGCCTTCTTTAATATTTAGTGAACAATAGGGATAAAATAATACATATACACATCATGCATGAAATGGAACGCACTCCGAGCGACGTAAAACATGGCCGGCACTTGCGAGGATGAAGGAACACAATTGGATTTTTCATTTTTCTCTCCTTAACGTTCCTACCACTCGTCTATTAGAAAGAAAACAAAAAATCTAACTGTATTTCCTCCTTGCATGCACCAGCTATCGATATCCTTGTCTGGCATACGGCAATGCTCGATCTATGCCGTAACCCCGCAAACGCAAGAGAGTAGTAAGCCTTAAGTCTTAAAGAATTGACCAATCATAGTCGATTATTCTTTTCACATTCGACTGTGATTGATCAATTTTTTAAGGCCATTCTATTGTATTTGCGGACTAAAACGTCTCTGAAATGGCATCACTGCAGTTGAGGTTATCACATATTGTGTGTAAGGGCTGCTGCACACAAAATTCCACAATAGTGACCGTAAGACATAAACTTAGGCCGATGAGCCAATCAAGATATTGCTTTAAGTCTATGTAATCTAACGGAAATGGAAATAAGGCGAATTTCTACCGGTTGAAACTTGCCTTATGGATAAGTTTACTGTTATTTCTATTTTCATTAGAGTACATAGATCTAAAGCAATATCCTGATTGGTTCATCGGCTTAAGTTCACGTTCTAAGGTTACTGTTACAGAAATTTTGTCTGTGGCAGACCTAAGTGCTGAGTCATATGTATGTCGCGCTTGTGTGCATAAGTTTCGAACAGTCCACAACATAACACAATAGGGGTACATTTACTTTTTACGCTCACACGCTTTATTTTATTCTTTTTCCGCAAGTAATAAAGATAGAATGAAGCTTACAGCGTGTAAAGCATAAAAAGTAAACACATCCTAGGTGTAATAAGCCTTAAACTATAAGAAATCAACCAATCATGGTTGATTATTCTCGACTATGATTGACTAATATCTTATGGCTCAAAGCTTACTACATCTATTGCGTTTTGGGACTATTCTATGCACAAATTTGGAACGCATCCCTAGAATTCTATATGTACATACAAAAAAGCGCAACCGAATATATATCGTGACACTTGTCTATAAAACATCTTGTGTATAAATCATCGCTGCATATATTGTTTATATTTTGTTACCTTAGAATTATTCATACTAATTTCATCAGATTTCATGATGATCACACATGATTTCATCACAGATTTTATGATGATTTCCAGTGATTTCACAGAAAATCACAATGATTTCTGTTGATTATATATCATTTTATTATGATTTCTGATTACGCATGATTTCATCTGACTTCATAATTACAGCTGATTGCAAAATAATTACATAAGGATTTCGTAAAGATTTCATAATAATATCGGGAATCTTGTTCCATGACTTCATTAAGTGGTTACTCCCTCGATATTATTACAATATTATAGGTACTCTACCTTCGTTCAGGTGCGTTCTCGTTTCACGCATGCATGTAAAGTGTATCCGTAAGAGAAGGGATCAAAAGTACGAAGCTTGGCGGACTAACAAAAATTTGAAATGACGCAACACCTGAGACGAAACACGTCCGTTCCTGTTCGCGCTCGTCACAGCGCATATACAAGACTCTCTTCGCTGACTTGACTGTAAGCTTACATTTCAGTTCCTCGTTCTCTCTTTCGATCCTCTCTTTCAGTAATACATTTTATACGCATGCGCGAAACGAAAAAGAACGCACTTGGACCAAGTTAGAATATCTATAATAAGAGTACGACTAATAGGCTAATCATTGGTGATTGGTCCGTCAAATTGAGGCAAAAGCGGAAGTTGCATACCCGTATCAGTGCGCATACAGTGTACAATATATATACAGCTATTTACACCGTTTCGAGTTTTCTGTGTGTTACAGGTAAGTTGATCGTTTGTTGGTTATTTTATTCAGCGAGTCATTCAAATTGAGAAGTGAGTGGCAAATAACCTTGGTCGTTGAGGCCATGAATTCAAACCCTAAGATATCGCTGAATACATGTAATCGACGGAAAGTAGATCCTGGATTTACGCCAAGTATTCAATTTTATAAAATATCGCTGAGTATAAATCACTGCATATATGTGGTTAATCAAAAATAGATACTGAATATACGCCATGGTTCGATTACAAAATACATTACCAAATATAAATACAATATTTCGCTGATAATGTCATTAAGTAAACTAATTACTGATTAATCTTTCTAATGAAAAGTTAAATCGGATTCTATAAGTAAAATTGAATTATATAAGAATTAAATGTAAAAAGTTAGTTATCAACAAAAAATGTGAAATATATAAAATATAAAATATAAAATATAAAATTCGGTCATATAAATAAGACGGAGTTAAAAAAAATACATGTACAAAACATAAAATAGGTAAAATAGATAAAGCTGAATTTAATAAATTTTAATCATTTAAAAAATGTTTAGAAATATAAAGTAGGAAACTAACTAAAGAAACTGTACGGAGAAGATAAAATAGGAAGAGGAAAATTAAGAGGAGGAAAAAGATTGTGCTATCGGAAGATAAGAGTCTGGTCATGCTTCCGTATCATTCTGCCTGTTTTTGTCTCTTAATGTGAACCATTTCAGAAATTAAACGTTTATTATAGTATGGTCCACTATCTAAAATTCTAACATTATTTCAATTGAAATTATAATTACATATAGTTCTATGGTCCGTAATAAACTGAAGGAGATCCCGATTTTTTTCTTATGTCTGACATATGTTTTTTTAGTCTAGTATTTAGTCTCCTTTTGGTAATTAATTTTGCAATCTCCATACGGTATTTTATAAACCACACTCTGATGGGAGAGAAAGTCCAGCTGGTCTTTTCCTCTTTTGATGCAATTTTTCAAAGTATTGGGAATTGAATAAGATAGCTTGCAACCAAGTTTGAAAGCTATGTGTAAGAAACCTTCAAACACGTTTAGCATAAGCTAAAGTAAAGTATTTTTGAGTGGCCTTGATTTTTTTATTTAAATTAATGTCTATATTATTATTATTGTAAATGTAAAAATTTAATCTTTTTTTATGTCAAAAAGACAAAATTTAAAGGGTATCAATTATTTTAAAAATATTAATAGCCTCAGTCAATTTCTTATGATGAAATTATGAATGGGACAGTAATATAATCTCTATCAACACCAATTATAACATCCCTTTTGTGACAAATCGGATGATGAGAATAAAAATTGAGGAATCTCCTCGAGAGATTGACTTATGATATTTATCGAAAATAATTCTATTGTCATCAATAATAACCGTTGTTTCTAAGAAATTTAATCTTCCATTAGTATGAAGCTGTGTTCCTCTGCACTCACCCAAAAATGTCACAATTAGCGGCTGCTAAATATATGAAAAAGACGAAATCATTCGTACAGAAGTGGGTGCAGCGATATAATGTGGCAAAAAATGTCGATGCTTTACCGGAATGTGGCTTGATATGCAAAGTGAACAAAAAAGACGATAAAAAAATAGTGAATCTGTTTTCGCGGAATCCTGGCTTAACACTGCATCAAGGACAAGCAAAATTGAAGCAGAAAGGTTTAGATATATCATACGAAACTATTTAAACCTATCTCAAAGCTAATAACATGAAATGGTGCAACCACGCTGATCGACCACGCTCTTACTTGACTTATTGTATATATGATAGTATGTAATTCTATGTGGAATATAATTATATGTAGCATCATGGTATAATCATAAGGAATATAAAATGTTCCGAGACGGCAAAATATCTCGAAAATTATAAGTTTTATAAAAAAATATATTAGATAAAAGTTATAGAGTTTAAAAAGGTCTAACCACTGTTTCATCAGTTTGACTTTGGATGACGTCATGACAACGTCCACACGGATTTTTTTAGAGAGATCCCCCACTTTTTTTTTATTTTCTTATAGCCCTTGTTGAGATCTTTTCAAAACATTATAATTTTATCTATTTTAGGTCAGCCGTTTAAAAGTTATTGAGCATTTTATGGTGAAATATCAGCAATTTTAGGTGAATCAAACACGAAAACTGTTTTTTTGGGCTAAAACTTATATGTTTTGTTTAGCAGGTCATCGGCTATATATATGAGAAAACTATTTGATTTCACCGAAACCCAATTTCATATAGGATTAGTGCGAGGTCCTTTTGATGACACACCCTGTATCTATTTAACAGCTATCGGACTAATATTTAACAGTTATCAGATTGATATTTAACAGCTATAAACAACTATCAGACTGATATTTAACAGTTATAAACAGCTTTTAAATAGCTATCAGACCGTTATCAGTCCATTTTCAACTTCTGCTATATATTTACTTAAATGTCTACTGGTCAGGGTAGCGGAAATAAAAACATATTAATTTGAGATAACATACATTTTAAAAAATTTTACAATTCTTCCTGACATCGCAATCAGTCAAATATTTTAAATATTATACATTTTACAAAGCACAGTTCTTTGCATATTTTCCACATCGTATAATATTACAATCATCCAGATTAGTTAAAGATTCCATGTTTTCGTAAACTGTATCCAAAATCTCCATGTACATACATTTTCGCTCATCGTCCAGAAGCAACCTCCATAGCCACGTTCGTTTCTCACATGTACACAATAGCATTATCTTCAAATACAGCTATCAGATCTTTTGTCTCGCTGTGCGGGACCATCCCGTCTTCTTATCGCAATCCATGATGATAAGCACTTAATTGGGAAAGCTTAATTAAGGAAGAGCAAGACCTGTCGGACCTTGTCAAAAATTTCCATGGCACGGTATTCATAAAAATATAATGTGTGAGAACGATTCCTTGTTTCAATATCACTACTTCTTTGACGATAAATTTCTTATTAACGACGAATCTTTGCAGATCCTTGCACAAATGTTGATAACCATGACAAGTAATTCTTCAAAACTGTGCTTCACTCTGATTTTTCTCTTCTCTTTAAAATTCTAAATACTTGCTGATCTTGCAATTTACATAATCTTGCGCACTACGTTAAACAACGGACAGTACTCGATTACACGATCGTTTGATGAGGCAATAGACGGTAGTATTAGCAAGCACATTCTCCTTGCAGTCAAATTCTATGCGTACATCCACAGTGGTGTTCTTGATGGATTCATTTTCGCAAGCAATCAATGACCGCAAAAGGCTCTTTCTCGATAAACGTAAGCACGTTGAACAGCATTTCGAAGTAGTTGATTCCATAATATGCTTTATGAAAACGCGTATACATATCAAACAGAACGGCGTATCACTTTTTGCCAAATCCAGATTTAAATCGTACGTTAAGTCGTACGTATAAAATTCTGAATTTAGATATGCTTTCACGTTACTCAAATTATAATCGTCGAACACGTTAACATCTCGTGACATTCTTTCGATCGGTCTGCATAAAGATAATATATAGCACCTTCTCAAGTTGAGTCGCTGTTTTGATAGCCCATAAATGCTTGATTGTATTCTATAACAGAGGATACTCGTACAGATTCCACGAGTGAAAACTCATGCTCAGATAGCGACCGCTTTCCAATGCTCGCAGCATTGATAATTTATTCATCTTGTTTAACGCAACGTGAAGTATCCGTCATTGCAATTTGAATAATTCAATCTCTGGCTCCGTCGCAATTGCTTAGTTCCCACCAAGCAATTGTAATTGTTACGCGCTCGTATCAAAATCAATTCGTGGTGAGCGTGGACGACTACGCGTTTGTAATTTTCGCAAAAGTCCAATAGCATGTTGAGCGGCACGCAAAAATTAAATTGTCTTTCTTTCGTAGATCTAGAGTTCCATCCTGCATTCAGCGCAATCAAAGCTTTGTCATCATTGATATATAGTATCTTGATGATACTGGTAATTCTGACTGGTTAATATTTCTGTTGCGGTCAATCTTTACACCGTTGAGTTCATATCAAATTTCATCAAATATGAACACCATGCAATTATTTCCAAGGATCGTCGACATCTGATCGTTTTTCTTCTTCACGTCAATCTTCCTTCGATGCAGAGAAAACTGTCGCTCGGCAACGTGTATAAATCCTGCTGTATGGTTATCCATATCTCGTCGCTATGTTCAAACGTAATGTTGGCGGATTGTATGTGTGAGTCTCAATTTTGACAATACGATTGTCAAAGATCGGCTCACCGATAATATTCAGGATATTAGTCATTTCGTACGATGAAACACAACGATTTTAAGAATGCAATGTTGAACGCAGTGAGTTTCTTTCCAGGTGTAGTCTTTCATAAAATGTGTATCTTTCGTCTGTTTTGACTGTTCGTTCAACACAAGCATCTCACATTAGCACCGACGTATATGCAACCTAACTATGATCTCTTCTCTGCAAAAATCAAGCAATCGATCATCTTGGTCCAAGCGAATGGTCAGATCCGTAATGCTCCGTACAATGATCAGAAAGTAAATGATCTGCGTCGGCCTTTCCGATATCTTATATATCTTTCCCGAAACGGGAAAACGGCACGCTCGACGAAAATTCGTATATCGTGTGCA